CGTTTTGCCTCTGTGGTGACTACCGCTGGTTTCTTGCCCAGTGAGCATGATCCCGCCTTATTTGTTCACAAGTCTCCTCGTGCTCGGACTCTTCTCCTTCTCTATGTTGATGACACGATCATCACTGGTGACGACTCTGACTACATTACCTTTGTTAAGGCACGCCTTCGCGACTAGTTCCTCATGTCTGATCTTGGTCCACTTTCATATTTTCTTGGGATTGAGATATTCTCGGCCTCTGATGGCTTCTACATCTCCCAGGAAAAATATATTTAGGATCTTCTTGCTCGTGCCGCTCTTGGTGATGAGCGCACTGTTGTTTCTCCTATGGAGCTCAACATTCAGCTTCGTGCCTCTGACGGTGACCCTCTTCCTAATCCCACTCGCTATCGTCACCTCGTTGGCAGCCTTGTCTACCTTGCTGTTACGCGTCCCGACATCTCCTATCCCGTCACATCCTGAGTCAGTTTGTTTCAGCACCCACCTCTGTCCACTACAGTCATCTCCTTCGTGTTCCATGATATCTTTGTGGCACGATCTCTCATCGCCTTTTCTTTCCCCGTTCCAGCTCTCTCGAGCTCCAAGCCTACTCTGACGCTACCTGTGCTAGTGATCCCTCTGATCGACGCTCGATGTCTGCTTGCTGTGTCTTTCTTGGTGGCTCTCTTATTGCCTGAAAGACAAAGAAACAGACTGCAGTTTCTTGCTCGAGTACAGAGGCTGAGTTGCGAGCAATGGCTATGTTGATGGCTGAGGTGATCTGGTTATGGTGGTTACTTGAGGATTTTGGCATGTATGCTACTACCTCGACCCCCTGACTGTCAGACGATACCAGCGCAATCAGTATTGCACGTGACCCGGTGAAGCATGAGCTCACCAAGCACATCGGTGTGGATGCCCACTTTATGCGTGATGCTATGCAGGATCAGACTCTCGCTCTTCACAATGTGCCTTCTGAGTTACAGTTCTTCACGGAGGCACAAACTCGAGCGCAACATGGCTTTTTTCTCTCCAAACTCGATGTTGTCGACCCACCATGAGTTTGAGAGGGGGGAGGGTGTTAGATGTGTATAGTCCCCTTTCTGTATATCCCCATTGTATAAGGGGTTTTCTACACTTTACCACACATGTATATGTATTGGTCTTTGGCCCTCAGTGAATACTAGTTGCTAATTATCCAACACATAGTACAATACTATCACTGGCTATCTGATTGAGGTGGTTAAATCAGATCTGCTGCCGCCCTATGAATAAAAGTGCCGCATGGAGGAAGCTTCAAAAGAAATCAGACGAGGATACATCTTACACACAATGCCTTCGCATTCTAGTTGTGAGAGAGAATGCATTGGTTCGTGTGATTTTCCATTTGAATTTGATCGAGCTGCTGCTTTGCACATGTACCTGTCATGACAAAGGGAGGAAATGTTCGACCATGCTCACTGTTGAGAGTTTTCTTTGCATTGCTGATGTGGTCCAATACTAAGTGCTTTTTTTCCTTCTTTTTTACTAGACAGAGGGATGAAGCATTCGTCTTGTTAGATGATACATATACGTGCCAAAAAAAGGATAAAAACATCTTCGACAAGGAAATACGCGCTATATGTTTCCCTGCTTATAGCCAAGGTAAGTTTACCTAAAATTTTTGCAATTTTTTTAACCTGAAATAAGTTTGGCAGTAATTCTCATGTGTCATCGGGAGCACTTTGCTTTATGTAAGAGTTCGTCCAGACTTGTCTTTGCTACAAAAAGGATTGTGCCACCTTGCTGGACCTTAGTTACTTTTGTTACTTGTTACCCGTTACGAATTATCTTATCACACAACTATCTATTACCGATAATTTCAGTGCTTGCAGAAAATACCTTGCTGAAAACCGCTTATCATTTTCTTCCGCTCCTCGTTGGGTTCGACACTCTTACCTATCGAAAGGACTACGATAGATCCCCTATACTTGTGGGTCATCAGCGGACCCTTTGATCAATGATTTTGGTTTTTTAGTGAGAGCTCCAGGAATGTTATTTGTGGCTGAAACTATGCAATACCATCATATCTTTGCTCATCTTTGATCCCTGAAATTTCCAGATTGTTTTGGATTTTTTTTTTCATTTCTTTGTGAATTTACTGTTTATTAGGGTGTAGGGGCACCCAGGAGCTGTTACACCTTTCTCTTATTGTATTAAGGTTCAACATTGCATGTAAGTCGCTTCAAATTCTCATTCTAATAATACATCAAATCGCTCAATTTTGTATCTGAACAGTTTTCGTAGTTTTTCTTATGTTGTTGTTTCAAAAAAAAATTGCTCGAGGAAAGTGAGAATATTGGACAACGCTCGTTCACATTTTCCTTGGTTTCTATTATACATGGATCAGGTGTCGGAAAAAGCCTCGATTCTCACCCGAAATTGTGAAGCAGAGAGAAGAAATTGGACTATGTAGCTTGGAATTTGAATTATTCAGATGCTAACTACCCAACGTCCCTCATATCTGTTCTCTCATACAAGCTGTGGCCAGATGGCCCTTTCTTCCTTGCCAAGTTGATGACATGTCTGTTGGTTTTCAACTGCTCCGAGAGATGAGAAGTCATGTTTAAGCTTATCAATTTTCTACATGTAGTGCTAAACTGCTAATATTGTTGCTCATCTTTGTGTCTCCAATTTACTCGAATCTATCTCCAATGTAACTACATAGTACAATACTATCACTGGCTATCTGATTGAGGTGGTTAAATCAGATTTGCTGCCGCCCTATGAATAAAAGTGCCGCATGGCAGACTAAGGCATAGCCTAGTGGTGGGAAGGGGTTGATGCCTTCCCACCCACCCAGGTTCAAGGCATGGTACTTGCAATTTGGGTTTGTTGCACCAATTATATTGTAGGGGTTCCCTTACAGTGTTTCTATCAAAAAAAAAGTGCCGCATGGAGGAAGCTTCAAAAGAAATCAGACGAGGATACATCTTACACACAGTGCCTTCGCATTCTAGTTGTGAGAGAGAATGCATTGGTTCGCGCGATTTTCCATTTGAATTTGATCCAGCTGCTGCTTTGCACATGTACGTTTCAGGACAAAGGGAGGAAATGTTCGATGGACAGTTTTCTTTGCATTGCTGATGTGGTCCAATATTAAGTGCTTTTTTTCTTCTTTTTTTCTAGATAGAGGGATGAAGCGTTCGTCTTGTTAGACGATACATATACGTGCCAGAAAAAGGATAAAAACATCTATATGTTTCCCTGCTTATAGCCAAGGTAAGTTTACCTAAAATATTTTCGCAATTTTTTTAACCTGAAATAAGTTTGTGTGAAAACTGTGTACGATTTCAGTGTCAATGTCTTAACTGAAAAACATTATCAAACCAGGCAGCAACCAACAAGTATCCCTGGATAAGGCAACCATCAAGTGTTCCTTTCGAACTTCTATTTTTCTCTATATATTGTTCCTTTTCAGCATCCCTAATTCCATACAAATGAATTTGGTACAGGAGATGAATCATCCGCAAAGTTGTTGCTCTAGCTCAAAATTTTCACTTGAGAGAAGAGAGTATTGCAGTTATTCCAGACCCTTGTGCCAAGCATAAGCAACGACCGAGACAAGAACCGCTTCCATATGAGGAACACAAGTTATAGATAAGTGAGATACTGCCATACTGGTAATGCTAACTCATAATCACCTGCTACTATATCAGGCATATTGTTGAGAAGTGCTGTCATTTACCCATGTTATCACTTATCAGGAACAACCTAACCTTTTTTACTTTTGGAACTACTGTTGTTTACCTTCATGTTCATGGTAGTGAAATTGGGAGCTGTTTGAGGTCCTTGATTCAGGGGCAAAACCTTCAACACAATATGTACAGAAAAAAGCAGCTTTGGGTTACAAAATCGGCCCCCAAAAAAGGTTTCATACCCTTGTATGGAAGTACTTCAGGCCGAACCTCACAGCCTTCATCAGATCACTATATCACAGCAGCCACTATTATATCAGGCTAACCGTAGCCATAAGAAATCTATAAACCTACGAGGCCATGGCCACAAATGTTCCCAGGATTAAGGAACCAGCACAATGCTCGCATTGATCGTTACAGTGCAATGAGAAAAACACCGGGCAAAATGTAAAGGGCCACTAGTTGGAACTTGGAAGGCTTATAAGTTCTGAAGTAAGTGTTTAGTTGTAGGTATAGGGTTCTTGCTTTGCACATAGCTTGTCAAACTCAAACCTTTAACAATTCTCCATGAAGGATATGGCGACCAAACAAAAAAGGACCAAAGTACATCACATCCTTGTGGGAAAAGGACTACATATATAAAACTACTAATGCCAGTATTAGATAGTAGCATGCAGGGTCTTTAGTAACTTTCTGGGCGGATAATTGTAAAGACATAATGATTGAAATCTCATGTTCATTGAATCCCAACCATACTTGCAAATGACGTAACTGCAGCCATAATTTTCTTGTTAAACCCGCCAAGGCCAATGTTTTCTTATTGAATCCCAACCTAGCATTTCAACATGTCATGATCTATCTGAACCTGCTAAATAAACATGTAATGAACAGGGGTGCATGAACAGAGGAAGCAGTGCAATGCTCGCATCGATTGTTACAGAGCAATCAGAAAGACACTGGGCAAAATGTAAAGGGCAACTAGTTGAAAGGCTTACAAGGTCTGAACTAACTGATCACTAATTAGCACACATGGTTCTTGCTTTGTACATAGCTTGTCAAACCATTAATAGTTCTCCGCAAAGGATATGACGACCAAACAAAAAAGCACTAACGTACATCGCATCCTTGTGAGAACAAGACTACACATAAAACTACTAATACTGGATAGCACGCAGATTTGCAGAGTCTGTTGTTACTTTCTGGACTGATGATTGCAAATGGCATCATGATCGAAACCTCATGTTCATGCCTTTGATTTTCTTTTCCCAAGTAAACTAGGAACAACCTGGGACACGAGGAAATCCTTCATAACACCAGGGCAGCTCTTGGTTAAAAGGTCGAAGCCTTCAGACTCCATGGCTGCATCCAGATTCGTCGGTGAGCTGAGGAACACCAAGCATGCTGCCTTAAGCTCCTGGCAGTGGTGCTGCTCCGCCAATGCCAAGATGGTCGCCACGGAGCTAGTATCGATATGCTTGCACAACTTATCTGCACAAATCAGCTTCAGCCTCTCCAAATCATACCTATCTGCTGCAACAAGCAAATGCTGAGCCATGGCAGATTCTTCTTGTTGCTTCATATCTGGCAACGTATCAGTGTACATGAAAGTAAGCAGAGCATTAAACACTTGCGCCTCCATGTCATCTATGGGTATGGCCTCAGTGGTGGTTCCCTCCTTCATCGAACCGAAGAATTCTGCTCTGAAGACTGGAGACCGCGCCGCTAGCACCAACCGGTGGGCCGAAAATGTCTCCCCGCCGACTCGGAATTCGACATCGACGCCCGCCTTGCTCGACAGGAGAATCCCCAAATGCTGGTGCAAGTCAGACGGTGGCACCGGGATGGATGGTGTCTCCTGCGCGTGGAACTCGCTCATCATAGCGACATCGACCTTTACAGTGAAGGAATCGTCCTTGAGATGCTCTGATTTCTCCAATTCCTCCGTTTTCATAAACTTCTGGAATCCCCAACTTTTACCCACCAAAAAGTCTCTGATCTTGGTAGTCAAGGTATGCAGCGGCACCGGCTTCCCGTCTTGGTCGATTAAGCTGAACTTAACTTGTGCCTTCACGGTCTCGCCCTTGGCTACGGTATCATCGAGTGTGAGAAAGAGGGATATGTAATCGATGTACTCGGACTTGTCCCCGTTGGGATAGTAACGAAGATGCCATGTGCGGCCTCCCACCTGGAACGGGCAAGAGTCGATCCACTCGCCATTGGGGAGCTCCTTGGTGCGCGAGTAGCCGTCGACCTTGAGCAAGTGGTAGCCGCTCACGGCCCCGGCAATGATGGAGGATGTGGATCCGGAGGGGAGGCCGGCACCGCCGAGACGCGAGGAGGTCGCCATCGTGCGCGACTTGGTCGGTTGGACCCGGTGGCTGGTGGGGAGAGGCGGAGGCGGCGGCGGCGGCAGGGGTAGGAAAGTGGACGGCCGCTAGGGTTTTGGGCGGTGGATGGTGAAGCCAGGGAAAGACTGAACGGAGATTTTTTTTTTTTTCACTGGACGGAGAAGGCAACTTGACTCTTCAGCTGGTATATCCGTTCCGTGCCTATCTCTTCGCGTTCTCCTCCAGGGAATACGTTGATCTCCATTTCCACTTGAATCAGATCGTCCTCTCATGTACACCGAAATGGAAAATATTCAACGGTGCTCCTTCACATTTTCCTCGTTGTATTGATTTGTTTTGGACGCAGATAACTGCCACATGTGTGGCATCAGTGGGGTTGTGCCGCACGTCTTGTGTGGCACGGAGACGATCCCGTCCGCATGATGACGTCCGGACGCACACAGCCACAACCCGCACGTCCGGTGTGTGGCACAATCGCCCACACGTCCGGGCGATCGAGCGCGCTGCCCGCACGACCTAACGCGCCGTCGTCCCGGCCTGCCTTCCAACTCCATTCCGCCTTGCCGCCGTCGTCTCCTACCTCTCGATCCCCTACCTCCATCGTCTTCCTTCTCTGGTTGCCATGGCAACCAGACCAGATCTCTAGCGCCTCCCCACCCCCACCCCCACCG